GGGTTACGACCAACTCGGGATACGCCCAGAGTCACGGAGCTGATTAAGTTCGTATCCCGAGGTACCACTGTACTGTGTCATGTTACAAACACATGGTATTATAGAATCCTATTCCTGGGATGGAAAAACCACTAGGACAGAAGCATAGGACCTTCCTCCTTTTGCCTGTTCAGGTTAACTTTAAAGAACAGCTTATTTTTTTCAGAACACAGCTGCAGCAGAGAAGATTTTTGCAGAGTCTCATTAAAGTTTTAAACAATCATACTTGTTCTTAAACTAAATCTGAGAAATGAAAGCCACAGTTGTTTGTGCATCCATATATTTGCTGTTGCACTTCCATTGTCAAGCCAGACTTATTAGCTATCCTGGTTTGGATCCCAATTGCAAGTTATACTTTCTTAGTTCAGATACTGAGGTAAGCAATGATTTATACGAAATAAATCACTGTACTGGAATATATTGGGAGAAGAAAGAGGTCACATAACAATTCCTATAAAAGACAGCTTTCCAATTCAAACAAATGAATGAAAAAGATAATTAGACTATTTCATACTTTTATTTAGCCATTTTACAGTGATTTGTTGAAACTGGTTTCTTGCCATTTTTTTGACATTCGAGCTCTTATTCAAGCTTTGAATCTTGAATTTCCTCTTATATGAGAAGCTGTCTTTTTCTAACTTCTCAGATGCCCTTCTGTACCCAAAGTAGTTGAAAAGGTATAACCAAAGGTATAATAAATAAGTCATAATATGGATATGTCCTGATTTCAAAGGAGTAGGCATTATGGTTTAAAAAAAAAAAAATCCGTACACACCCATGCATGTGAAACAAAATCTTGGTCTTCCCTATTCTGATATTTCATCAGCTAGTTCTAATTCATTTCAGGTTTGTTTTGTAGCTTCTGGGGATGTTGACTGTAGTATTTTATAATATATATTACTCTGTTAATAATAAACTCAGTTCCTTAGTACAATATTGTTTATTCACTCACTGACCAGCAAAATTTAGAAATATAACACACCAAAGTAAAATCAAATGGGTGAGATAAAATACTAACATAGTAAGGGATCTTTATAATAAAAGTGTAACACATGCTACTATAATAGTATGTTAATTAACTGTGCAAGTATAAATCTAAAATATTACCAACTATGAAGTAAAAATACATATCACCTAAAACAAGATTAACTAATAAATAATAAACCTGGAATGATGAATAAAACAGAAGTGGTTATTCCTGTGACCAGTTAAGCCTTATTTTCATGATCAGTTCTTTAAATTATGCCTAGAAATTTGAAGGGTTTAAGGTAGATGGTGAAACACTCATTTTCTGGCAAATCAGTCAGAAAGGAGATTACCATCTTCTGAACTATCTAAAACTTTCTAGTAGTTTTTCAGGGTAGTCCCAAGTACAAGCCACTAGATCTGACCTTGATAGAAACTCTATGAATGAAATTTTCTAGATTTTGAACCAGGAGGAAGAAAAAAATGCAGCATTTCCTCCTGATGCTCTTTTTTCCCATGGGTTCACCTGAATTCCTGCTGAATTCAGCTGCAAGATAAAGAAGTACATCAAAACCTTTAATGGGATACAAGAGAAGACTGAATGCCATTATCTCAAACATGACAAGGCTGCATTTTCTTTGCTTCGGTTCTTCTTTAAATACATCTGCTGGCCTGTTTTCATGCCATTGTTGCCAACAATATATAGATAACAAGACTAGAAAGAGGGTGACTGTGTACACTGATTCCTATTTACATATGGGAAACCCCAATCTTTCCTAAAGTCTTCAAACACAGATTTGGATGGACAGGTAAATAGTATGGAATCCAATATAATATTACAGGGAATGGCTGAAAAGGACCAGGAAGTACTGTCCACTAATTTCTCTGGCTTGCTGGATAAGAGCTGGGTTCTTTGAGTCCAACTTAGCAAGTGCCAGTCAGATCCCTCAGAACAAGGCCAAATGGATGTTTTCTCATCTGTTACTGGAGCCATGGCTTCACACTGGTGCAATATACTACCCCATTCCAATTTTAAAATCCTGGTTTGGTTTAAAGAGCTTCTGCATGTGTTTTCTCATTGGCTGCAGGTCTGAAAGAAAGTGCTGAAGAGATGGTAAGAAACAAGCTAGAAGGCAAGGATAAACTGACTCCCTGGGAGCAATTTCTAGAAAAGAAGAAAGAGAAAAGGAAAATGAAGAAAAAGCAAAAGGTAATTTATGGCTTTAATTAAGTAGTTTTAAAGGGTTCTGTCTTTCGAAAACCCTGTCCCAGCTGGCTCAGACTCTGAAGAACCTGTACTTATTCTAGCACACACAAACCTTTTATGTAGGATCCTTATGCTGGGACTCATTTCAAACCAGGCTTATTGGGAGGTGGGACCATTTGTCAGAACATTCCTAATATAATCCAGTGATTGCACACTGCAAGGGAACCACATGGTTATTGATGCTAACTATCCCTCAGGGAGTTTCATTTATTTATTGCTAATATATATATGTCTCACCTTCAGACAAAAAAGAAAACCATGGATGATTTGCAGCATTCTATTTTTATATAAAAAAAGAAATACATAATAACAGCTTCAGTTGATAAAAGTGACCAAAACTCCAATGTTTAGGTATATAAACTGTTCTAAACGAGAGCTGGGTTTTATTTGGTGAGGGCTACATTCTTTCATGGATGTTCTTTTGACTGTGTTGAAGCAAGCAATGGTTGAAACCACAGTTCAAAGTAGATAGAGATAACCATTGTTTCTCTGGCACACATTCTTGCTATGACACCTCTTTTGTTCTTTCAGTGACACTCTCACCTTTCTCTTTCTCTCTCTCAAATTTCAGAAAAGAGACATTTTACTAATCTCTTGCATAAGAGATTTGAAAGTAGTCCAAGGGATGCAGGTTTTAGAACTTGGAAATGAAAGTTCTTTGCCTGGAATTGAAAAGATAGCAATGTGAGTGTGAGATGATCCTCTCTAAAAAGAACATTCCATTAGCAGGGTGTTGCTGTGAGGAGCTATGTTTCCCCAGTTGCCACTTGTCAGGCAGTGGGATGTTTGAGAAGTGCCTCCAAATGACTTTAGTAGTCAGGCTGGTTGATATGGAATGCTTTCTTCAATCAACCCCTTGATGTTTCTAAGGAATTTTGATCTCCTTGAAAGTTAATTTGAAAGCCCACACTTTTCTTGATGCTTAAACTGCATTTACAGAAAGTGTAAGAGTAGGCAAATGATTGATCATCAAGAAGTCAAAACAGTGTTTTCCTTTGCCTTTGGTAACCTTGTGAATGAAAGATAAGTTATCATTAAAAGAAAAATAAATGTATTAGCTCTCGAGAAAAAGCCCCTTTGATCCTGTATCCTTGATAAGTTCTCCATTCCTAAAGGGAATGTTCATTACTGTTGTTGAAAAGCCATCTTGTTTGAGCTGCCAAGACTTGGATAAAAATTATGTCTTTTTTTTTAAATCTTAAGCAATGAACAGATTTTGCCTGCTGATTTTTTTACTTTTTAACACTGGAAAGATCTTCAAAGAAATACACATTTTGGGATTCTACTAGCAAACTGATGTCAGAGTCTCCACCATTAGGTTTTCTCATGGAGAAGTCAAAAGTAGACGTTCCAGATATCTCTTTATTTTAAGATTAACCTTCTACTCTGAGGATGTGTTAATTCCATATGGATTTCTTTCTTCAGAATGTGCCAGCCAAAAAATGTTATATACTATAAACTGAGTTTCAGAGTGCACTTGGAAAAGTTGATCAAGAATGTTTATAAGAATATTAGATAACCATCTCTTTGAAGATACAGCTTTTGAATTTGTGCTCATGATTATTATGATCTTGAGTTATTTATACAATCTCTTTAATAAAGAAAGTGGGCTGTATATTTTATTATTTTGTGAAGCTAGCTGCATGCACAAGACTCCATCCCAGGGTACATATTCAACATCTCAGACATAGAATTTACATCTTCATGAGAGAGAAGAGCATGTTCTGTCCATGTACAGAGTCAGATTTCTCCCAACCTCACCCTTTCAGCTGAAGAAATAAAAGTTTTAATCCTTTTAGATCAAAAGTAAAAGCTGAGTAGTGGGGCCAGGAAAAAAGGGGAAACTAACTCTGTTCTTCTGAGCCCCTGATTAAAGATTGGAATCTACAAGAAGCTGAAAGAGTCCAGGAAAGCAAGAGAAGAATTTTTGCTTCAGAAATTCACCTACCTCTAAGGAATAAACAAACAAGTCTAGCCAGAAAATTGCATAAGAATTTTGATGTTTTATTTTTCTATGTGGTATTAGTTAAGCCTTATAATTTCTTATGTTTGTTTCTCTATACAGGTAGGTAATTCTGTGTAACCTCACTCTTTTATTCCTACCTCATGCTGTGTAGCAGACAGGTTCCATCATGTGGTCAGCCTAGAACATTGCATGTGTTTTTGAAAATTTCTTCTGGAAGTAAATGGGGTTTCATGTGCCATGTCTTTTCTTTTTAAAGTTTGATGTTGTTTATCTCTTGTGAGATTGATCTGAGTCCCAAAAGAGGGAGGGAAGGGCTGTGAAATCCCTAGTCACACACCGTTATGCTATAAGGCATTATAAATTCACCCTCCTCCCCCCACCCCATTTTTACATTTTAATAGCCAGAAAAATCAGCACAGGTTGTAAGAGCTCTATGTCTCACACATATGCCAGGTGAGGTGTTTCCTAGAAGATAGGTAGTGACAGCAGGAACTACCAAGCTGCTACAAGGTAAGAAATGGGGTCAGATTCTGAAGATGCCGAGGGCTTCTGGGAGAGAGGTTTCAGACCTCCAGTCTTCCATCCTATAGATTCAGCCATACTGTTTCACATTTTTAAGGGCTATTTATTGGCTTCTCCATATTAATAACCTATTTTTCCTCCAGATAAGCTCTGGACCTTGTAGATGGGTCTGTGTCATTTTATCTTCATAGCACCCCCGAGAATTACACTAAAATAAGAAATAGTGATTTGCTTGAAGCCACTTAGTAAACATTAAGTCAAATATTGATTTCAATATTGTTCTGAGTTTCTTTAATCCAAATTTGAGATATAGTCATTACACTCTCCCACATGATCACTTTGTGATTTTCAAGCATAATCTGAAGCTTAATCAGTGTTTCCAACTATCCTTTTAAGCATCTATCCTAGCTACTGCTTCAAGGCACCTGTAGTTGATACAGTCCCTAGTTTTTAGGAAACGTTTTCCTCTCCCCGCCAAGATAGAACTTCTTCTTTCCAATCTAAAATTGGGAACTCTGAGAAGGAGTGGTGACGTTACGAACAAATGGTAAGACAGAAAATATTCATACAAATATCCCTGTCTCTTGTTTACCACAGTTTCCATTCACTAGAGTATGGGGAATGAATTTTAATATTGTAGATTCTCTTACCATTCTTGACTAGAGAGTTTATAAGCCATCAAAATGTAGAAGGACTAAACAATCCAATGATAATTTCTTGTCCTTCATAAACAAGAGTCTTTTAAGCAAGGTACTTGTTCTCGATTGATTTCTAGATGAATTCATAGCATGCCATAAGTTCTGTTGTTCCCCAACTCTGCAAGCCTCCTGTAAGCTGGTCTGTTTCCCAGATTTCACATTGGTTCATCAAAATGGTATGATGAAAAACTTATTTTGTTGCGTGAAGCCAAGTGAAACCTAGTTTAATAGTTAATAGAGGTAGGCAATGTGATTCCCTTCAGAAGTTTTAGACCAATTATCTTGAACTCCAGTGTGGCCAGTTCTAATGAATTGTACCCCCAAGATGTTTGCAAGGCATCAGATTCCTTACCCATGGACTCTTAGACCAGGATTGTATTTTACTCAGACATGAAGTTAATTGCACAGTGTTCAGCTACCATAGACCTGTCTTACTGAATTGTTGTAAATGTTGAATGGGGTGGCAGTTCTTCAAGAAGATATAGAATTTAAACATAATAAAAACAGAAGTGTCCCTGCGTAATGTCTTGGTATGTTACAGAACTTTGGGATTATCCTTGGGCTTTGAAGCCAATTTTTTTAATACATTAAAAAATCCCAAAGAACATTGAGAAATTAAATACACAAATTTGGCCTATGGAACCTCTTGATCCTTGAAAACCACTGAATTGCCAACAGTCTAATAAAAATGGACAAAATGTATTACACGTTCTCCACCAAAGGAAATGGCTGTATTCACTTTTTTTTTTGCATCGCATCATATATAAACACTTTGGTTCAGAAGTGATTGAATTCTGTTCAGTTTTCTATATTTTATTTATTATTTATTTTATTTATTTATTAAATTCATATGCTGCCCATCTCCTCCAGAGGGTGACTCTGGAGAGCTCACAATTAAAATCAAACATTAAGAACAGTAAAAATAAATATCCATATTAAATTGCCTAAAAAATAATACTATATAAAAAGACTATATACATAAAAAGACTATATAATTCAAGATGATGAGGGGGGCAGAATCAATACCCTACCAGCCAATTCCAAAAATGCGTGTCCCCATCAGGCCCCCAGGCTATCTGGCATAGCCAAGATTTCACACTCTTCCTGAAGGCCATATAGGGCAGTTCTGCATCATTTTGCTCTAGCAATTCAACTTTTACCATGCATTTCCTTATAAAGCACTTCTTAAGAGGTTCTCAGGAAGTCTATATTGATGCCTCTAGTCCTTAGTTTTGTTAATTTCAGTGAAAGCAATTGTTTCAGATCATTTTCTTCCTGTGTGACAGGTTTGTGTCTTGGGATTACTTCTTGAAACTTGTTTTAGACAGCTTTATGCTTGGTATATTTAATTGTATTACTAGTATTTAATAGTGAAAATGCAATGTATTTTGTTTCAGGCTGCCGCCGTTAAGGAAATGCTGACTGAAGACGAATGCCCATCTGATGTTGATTTGAATGACCTATATTTTGCTGAGGAACTTGGGAAAGCAGGTTAGATGTCAGTTTTGCTGTCCTGCATTCTGAAAGATGATACAGTCCATGTCACATACTTGATCCAAGAAGCTCTGACGAAAGCAGTCACTCAGTGCTCTTTTAGCTACTTTGTATCTGTTATATGTGTAAAAAAGGTCTGTTTAATCATTCTTTGCTAAGTAAAAGCAGGAATGAGAACAGAAAAACAAATGGGCCATTTTTGCAATGGAAGCTGAAATAGCAGACTTTTCTAGTTTTGTGTATTGCTACTGTTGCCATTGATATGAAATTGCTGGGGTGGAGTGGGCAGATTGATTGATTGATTGATTGATTGATTGATTGGGCAAATTTATATAGCCACCCATCTCACCCAAAGCGAGTCTGGGCGGCATACAACAATCAAATAAAAACAAATATAAAGACAAAATGAAAAATATAAAAAACACATTAATAAATATCATAAAAACCAAGATACAAACCACAGGGGAGGGAGAATAAAAATTGCCCCCTCAGCAGTGGAGCCATCTAAGCAGGTCTACGGTTCCCTGGGAGCCCCAGGCCTGATCACATAATCAGGTCTTGAGGGCCTTCCAGAATAACAAAAGGGATGGTGCTAATCTAATCTCCGGAAGAAAGGTATTCCATAAGGCGGGTGCCATAGCAGAGAAGGTGCGTCTCCTGGGACCCACCTTAACTTAATTAGTAAGTTATAACAAATCAGGATAGAAAAAAATCTCAAGTGAAATGTGATCATATTCCAGAAATACTTTATAGTACAGTGACAGAGCAAATTCAACCCTTAACTGCAAAACGATGCCCAATCGGTGTTGATGAAACTCTTAATAGAATTTAAAAGGTGTAGCCAGCAAGGTTCTTTACTCTTTGGGAATGGTATCCTTCTATTTTATCTTCTGGAAGCTGCTTTCAAACTGGATCCTGATTTCAAAAGTAATTTGCCTTGCCAGGAAATTGCTTGCTATATAAAATAATGCCAACATATATACATTAGAGAAATTGTGCAGCTCTCTAAATTGTGCTGTTTTTATGTTTTTAAATATTGAAACCTACCTAGTAAGCAATGTCGGTAGATCCTGTGTTTGTTTATTTGTAGCCCAGAATGGACTCTGGGTGGGATACAGCAAAATGAGAACAGGGCACCAAATATGTGTGTGTGCGTGTGTGCGTGTAGTAAAATCAGCAACAGAAATCTAATACATTATAGGTACCATTCAGTTAAACTATTCTAAATGGTGAAATGCCCACTGGAATAACACTGCTTTGGCTGGTTTTAGAAACATCTTTAGAGTAGGGTCTGTCCATATCTCCAGGGAGATAATGTTCCATGAAATGCAGACCACCACTAGGAATGTCTCTCTTCTGGCCCACACCCAACAAACCTGGTGAAAGAGAGGTACCTGCAACAGACCCTTTTCAAATGACCAGACTAGATGGGGCAGATCTGATTTTGGAAGGTGTTGCCTGATGTATGGCAGTGTATTCATGATGTGTACCACAAAGGGCTTTAAAGGTGAAAAATGGTACTTTGAATTGGGCCTGGAAGCCAATGGGCAACCAATGATTTCAGAATAAGTAGGCTTATAAATCAGAGCTTACAGAAACTAAACAGGAAGGAAAGGAGTCAGATTGTTTTGCATAGTTGATACATTTGGCTTTCTAGCATACCAAAAAAAAGACTGCAAGATGATGAATTTATAATTTTTTAGCCTTGGAAACCAAGCTTCTATATATTGGAGTATTGTGGTTTGCTTATTTCAAACACTTTTCATATAGCTTTGATACAAGAACAAGCGTCTTGAACAAATTACTTACAGAGATTTCCTATGCGCTTGCCAAGAGAGAAAGGAAAAAAGAACAGCTTTTACATAATGTTTACTGCTCATGATGTTATATTTGCCTATTGTACTTCCTGAAACATGGTTTGAGATTTTTTCTTGAGTATGTCTAGCGCATACCTAGTGCGCTCTCTTTCTGTCTCTCTCTCTGTCTCTGTCTCTCTCTCTCCAAAATACTTTTCTTTTAGCAGTAGAACCTTTGTGAGATCTATATTTGTGTACGTGAAGAATCTCAGAAATAAAAATGTGCTATTTTGATAAATTTTATTCATTTAAAATATTTTTGGCCTCCCTTTATAGCAGGAGTCCTTTGCTTTGAGGAAAATATTCTCTGACTAAACTTTTTTTCCATGAAGATGAAGATGTTTTGATTTATATTTTCCTCAGATAAATGTTGTTATGTTTTTAAAGATGACATTTCAGAAAGTTTTCTATTGTTTTTGGAGACCATTACTTATGCGTGTTTTAATAATTAGGTTTATTTCTGCTTATTATCAGGTTTGAATAAAACATTAAAGAAAAGAGAAGTTGTTAAAGAAAAGGAAGGTGATGCTGAAAAGCAAAAGGTAGGAGTCACTTTGAAGAAATATTGAAGTTATATATAGGAATGAGTACTTTTAACAGTACTTGTGCTATCTGGAATGGACGGAACTGGCATTTTGTTCATAAGATGCCCTTGCCTCAAATGTGAAGACCAACAATCACATCCTCAAGGCTGAAAATAGCAGTGAGGCCATCCATACTCTTTGACACACATGATCACTTTCAGGAATTAACCAAATTGTTTCTTTTTTAAAAATGGCACTTATATCTTTGTCTCAAATTCAGAAATCTCAGAGTGTCTCATGTGGGTGTTTCCCATCCAGACAGTGACAAGGTTGGTACAGATGTTGGCTTTAGCAGTCCTAAAGGATTAGCTGTTCCCTGCTGAAGCCTCACTTCTGGAGAATGCCAGAGATGGGGAAAGCTGAGCAAGCGAGCCTAAAGTATCCCAGTGTCCAACCATGACGTGTTTTCATTTTCACCATTGCCATTTGATCCCATTGGTCCATCAGCAGAGGAAGGATCAAATGAAAAGGAATGGTTGGGGAGAGGAGCTGCTTGAAATCTCTTAAGAGAGAAACGGAGACTCTTCTCTCTTTCCTGCTGTCCTGATCCATGTCTAAACAATAGGGGAGAGGAGGCAGATGCCAACCCAAAGCCCTGTTTTTTAAAACTGAACTCTGTTTTTACTGCAAAAGTTCTTTGAGAAAAATCAGTGTGTAAACTACTAGTACACATTACAATTCACACTACTTTATCTGTGTATTTATTAATTTATGCATGTGATTACTTGGCTTTGTGTTGATAAGATGAATGATGTGCTGCACATCATCTTCAGAAGAGTAATATGTGTTAATATCACTTACCCACTGTGCTTTACAGTTGGTGAAACAAAAAGCAGCTTACGTTGTATGAAACAAAAATGATCCCTAATTAAAATGACTATTAATGGAAATTAGTGGCTGCGGAATCCTAATACTAAAAGAGAATTTATTCCTTACTCCTTAAAAAAGAAACAAGATTGAAGTCTCATTGGAAGAACGGATCTCACTTTGTGCAATGATCCTCTTGTATTAGCCAGTATAACAAGGCTTGTTGACAATAAATAATAGGACGGCTTTTTTCAGAAACTCAGCTTCCTTCCTTCTCATTTCCGAAATGTCAATACTTGCAACATGTTTCAAGGATTTGCCATATAGTCTGAATCAATTTAAACATCACCAGCATCCGTGTGAAAGGCAATGGAAAAATATTTCCACATAATGTCATGATGTTGCACATGTTTGGAACAATATACAGCAGCTTCAAAATGTCTGTTATTTGTGATCATGTTTTAGCTGTTTCCAGATGTTGACTGTCATGTTAAGGTAATGGTGAAGTCTGAGTTGAGCTTGACTCCTGGTGATTTGAGGAAAAAATCCGTATCATTTTCTTGCAGCACTATGGAAGTGGTTTGCAATTGTCTTTTTCCAGAGTGTTTTTTTTTTTTCCAAGAACCCAGTGTAGTTTGAAATCCTAGAGTTTCCTGGTGGCCTAACATCGAAACAATAATAAATCCTTGGTTAGCTGTTTAGGACCAGCCAAGGTTTGCTAGATTCTCTGTGTCCACCAATTAGATTACAGCATTTTTGTTTTCTTTTTTAAGTAGGGTATATTTTTCATTCTTCAAAAAGGTGATTATCTGAAATAGGAATATTCTGCCTTTGGAATATTTTAAATGTATCTAACAAGCACATTTGGATCTACTGTGTGCAAATGTTTTGATTTGTCGATATGTGGGCCTAGATATATGCCATTTTCAAATTGCTAAAAAAAGATTAGCTACTTGTTTTTCCTGTTAAAGTCGTACAAATTAATAAGACCTTGCTTACTGACTGATAGAAGGAAATTAGCCTAAAATACAGTATGGAAAAATAGATGGTTTCAATTGTTAAAATTCCAGTAGTATAACTGTTGCCAAGAATTCTTCCACATCTCTGGCAAGTATTCAGGTTGGGAATGGCTTCTTCAGAGTAGGAGCTTATATCCCACTGATAACACTAAAATATTGTGTTCAAATGTGTGCAAGTACTCACAGTCCTCTTGCATGCTGCGCCATATGTTTGAATCTATATATTTGGGGAATATGACACCAACTATTAAAATTCAGGCAGTCTTGGAGCATACAATGAGAATATGTTGTTAGATTCTTCGTGTGGTCAGTATTTGAGACTCTGCTTAGAAGTTTAAGACATGCTAAACTTTTCAAAGAAAGGATGGGTTAAAAGCGTAACAGATAAATCAAAGAGATTAGAATTCTTAATCTAGTCTTATTGCAGTGAGGGTGATGCTCTTAATTGCTTTTTCTTTCCTTTTATAATAAAGTGCTCTTATCCTTGCCAATAAAAATGTTTTGTAAACAGATCAGCAATTATGGTTGTTCCCATCATGCATTAGCAGCTCAGTCTTTAGCTGAGAGATAGAAACATCTGGAATCCATATTATCTGAAGTGTGGTACAAACAGAGCCAATCTGTTCTGATTATAATAGGCTGAAATGGCTCTGCTGCTAATGGAGGAGGAGGATGAAAGGAGACACTTCAATTATGACAAGATAGTAGAACAGCAGAACCTGAGCAAAAAGAGAAAAAAGCTACTAATGAAAAAGAAGGAACTGCTGATGGATGACTTCCAGGTAACACTATGGGCTTCCCTTTTCTGAAATGTAATAAATGTGGATAATTTTGAATTAATGTAGACTAATAGCCACATGACCATAAACATGAAAATATATTTTACTATTATCATTCCTATTGTTTTGATAAATTGCCACATTCCACTTACACCCCAAGTAATCTTTTACTCCTGTAATCTTAGTTTGGCATAATATGAAGGAAAGGTAAAACACTCTTCTTTTGCCCTTGTTTTTTGATGAATATATATCATGCTGTAGAATACAGATAAGTGGGATAAAGAGAGGATGGCGATGGTGATGATGATGATGATGATGATATTTTTATCCCACCTTTTTTATATATAACTCAAGGCAGCAAACACTCCTAATACTCCCGCCTCCTATTTTCCCCACAACAACAGGCCTATGAGGTGAGTTGGGCTGAGAGAGAATGACTGGCCCAAAGTCACCCAGCCGGCTTTCATGCCTAAGGGAAGCCTAGAACTTACCGTCTCCTGGTTTCCATAGTACCAATCTTATTCATTTAAGAAAGAGTTGCCTTGCATTTTCTACCTGAAAATGTATTTTTGAAAGAACTTACTGTCTCTTGGTTTCCATAGTACCAATCTTATTCATTTAAGAAAGAGTTGCCTTGCATTTTCTACCTGAAAATGTATTTTTGAAAGAACTTACTGTCTCTTGGTTTCCATAGTACCAATCTTATTCATTTAAGAAAGAGTTGCCTTGCATTTTCTACCTGAAAATGTATTTTTGAAAGAACTTACTGTCTCTTGGTTTCCATAGTACCAATCTTATTCATTTAAGAAAGAGTTGCCTTGCATTTTCTACCTGAAAATGTATTTTTGAAAGAACTTACTGTCTCTTGGTTTCCATAGTACCAATCTTATTCATTTAAGAAAGAGTTGCCTTGCATTTTCTACCTGAAAATGTATTTTTGAAAAATATTTTCATCACCCGTTTAAGGTTGTCTCACATAAGTAGTTTCCAACAATATGGCATGGAAAATAGATCCGTTGGCTTATGCATGTCACCTGGGTCTTTATAAAAAAAAGATGAGAGAAATTGAAGCATACATCATTTTTTTGGCATACGACGTATACTAGTATTTGAGGAAGGTTTGCTGCTTGATACGGTAGTGAATAGTTCTGCTGGTATCTGGGAAAAAAGAGGAATACAGGTGATATATGGACTGAATCCTAGAGTTTATAGAACATGGCTTCCCTGCCTTTTCTTAGACCATTTTTGATCAACTCTTGGTCTATGAAATAGGGGAATACAGATTGATTGAAAAAGCTGCTCTTCATGTGTTCCCAGGAGAGCAACATGGGCTTGGTTTCTCTGTTGTTCTTGTGTAAGAAAACCCAGAAGAAACAGTAAGAAGGTAAAAAGAGGGCATAATGCTTTGTAAGAGCAATATGATTCTCAGGGCAAAGGGGAGACAAATTGCAAATTGCAAGATTCTTCCGGACAGACCTGTATTTTGCTGGTCTATAATGATTTGATTCCTGGTCTATACTGTAATTTGTCTGTGTTTAAAAAAAAATGTGAAGCATTATGTACAAAATGCAGCCTAGACAAGTAACATTTGGTAAAATCCATATGTTAATTGCATTTTGTAGATAACAGTGGGTGCCTTTTTTTCCTATATGGATGGTATTTGCATGTAGGGTAAGACATGCTCCAACATATTTAGCATATTGTAAGATATATGATCTCTCTGCAGATTTTCAGTCTGTGTATTTAACATGCCTGAGAACTGCTCTCAGTTTGAAGGCCGTTGTATGTCCTCTTAAGCAACATCTATCTCACATGATATGGTTACAATTTTCTCCTTATTTTTCCTTTGGCAAGTAAAATTTCCATTATTGCTGTTCCCAGGTAAATGTTGCTGATGCCAGATTTCAAGCCATGTATACTTCCCATTTGTTTAATTTGGATCCTTCTGATCCAAACTTTAAGAAAACAAAAGCAGTGCAAAAGATTTTGGAGGAGAAAGCTCGCCGAAGGCAGCAGGGGTCAACTGAGGCAAAGGGAGAACAGGACATTATGGCAGAGAAGAAACCTGTTGCCGAAAAATCTCTAGATCCTTCATTGTCAATGCTAGTCAAATCTGTCAAGAATAAAACAGAACAATTTCAAGCAAGGAAGAAACAGAAAGTTAAGTAAGTTGACTGAAGAGTTTGAAGATGAAGTGGACTTTCAAAGAAATCAAAAATTCTTCCAATTCGAGCTTAAATGCTTATAAAAATCTTGCCAGAGGAATTGCAAATGAAGCTATTCTAAAAGCAAATGTAACTTATTTTGGTTATATTAAAAAGTGAGGTTGTTTTCCTTGTTATAACTTGAGCTGGGATTGGCTCTTGAGCATTTTTAAATGGGGAAAATATTTTGGATATCTGCAATCATATTAATAAAATCTATTAAATGGAAAACATGTGACTTATTACTGTGACTAGCATTGAATAATAACACATTGCTTAAAGTCATGCGATACTTCAAAGATGTATTGCACTGTTGAAGATTGTTCTAGTTTTTTGAATGTCACAGCAGTTCTTTGGTTCACACAAAAAATTAGAAGTTAAGAATCTGATAAGCTATAGACATTCCTGAATTGCTCTACAATTCAGGTCTTTGGTTAATCATTAATACACAGATTATACCTGCAGAATATATTCTGTTGTAATTTTACAGGACTTGGTGAATGGCTCACAATGCAAACTGGAACCAGTGTTCTCCCAGATTTAGATAGTTCTGTATTTCCTTTCTGGGAATTGCTAGATGCACGTCTGCACTAGAAGACCTGATTGTCTTAATTGGTTACTCAGTCCAATAATAGGACTGAATTTATGAAACAGGCTTGACAGCCAAGCAAAAAGTACAAGCAATGCCATCCTCTGACTATTTTTGGAACAAATTGGGGGAAGCTGCTATTTCCAGGTCTTTGTGGAATAGGTTGCTCTCCGTACTGGTTTGAATATTCTCTCTTCCCTTCTTATCCCCAAACCCCATAACTGGGGAGTGTTGTTGTAAGGAGGGCATACTTACTACACAGCTAAACAAAACTTCTCTAGGAAGTTTTTACAAGGTCTATCCTCAACGCTATCCTCAAACTCTTACGTTTAAAAGGAGGACATTATGCCCCCGCCGCAATTAAACTTTTCCAGGCGAAATCGCTTGCCCAGATGTTGTATGGGACACACCTTGGACCCTCATCCGCCTCCTTACCCCTGGAGAGAGTCCAGTCCAAATTTTAAGAGCAATCCTACAGTTGCCTCGCTGTGTGTCAAATGCCTGCTTGCGCCTGGAGACTGGCCTTTTAAAGGTTGAATCAAGAATCTGTCATCTTTAAATCTATGGCTAAAAC